TGTGAGAGAAAACGGGCTGGAAATTTTTTCCGCGGGGCCAGTTGCAAATCAAGAAAACTCTGTCTCTCAAATACAAGAAAAGTGGCCTGAATCGTACAATGACCAACGACTTGAACCTGCAAGATTCTGGAAGGTGCTGGAAGTCACTGCAGACATGTTCACCCCGGCCTCAGAATTCATGTTCACCCCGGCCTCAGAATTCTTCCCGGAGGACCGGGTATGAGAGCCCCAGAATCATGGTGGCAGAAAGGCTATGGGGGTGCAGCTCGGCTTTCCGAAATGGCCATGGGGCTGCCCATCCCCTGATCGCTCACCGAAGGACAAGGAGGGGACTGGACACCTGAAAGGTAGAGGCGTCGATTTGAAAAGAAAGCAGAGGAGGAGAGAGAAAGTTGCAAGGATAGATAAACGCATGGCTTTCCCTAGAGAAACGAGACCCACCCACTTGGCCGGCCCACCAAGATGGAGCCATTAGGGCAGGCAGCTCACTTTTAATCTCCCTTCTTAATGTTTGATTTTCTCCTATTACGTCGTAATTGAATATAAAGGGATTTGAGCAATCAGTGGTATCTTCAGTGGAGAAAGCCGAACATAACGTGTTCACATTTTACCCAAACGTATTAAAAATGCTGGCCTACGCCGGGCTGTCAGTATGACTGTGTGTGTGTCCGCCCGTCTTCCCTGTGTTTGTCTCTGGGAGTTTATGTTCGCCAGCACGGGCATTTATTACGAGACGCTCAGCTGTTAGAGGGCGTGGTACGGTACCTAATTTGGTAGAGCATCCAATTTGAACAGACTGGCTCTAAATAAACACTTCCTCGTGGTGACAGCGATCTCAGCAGTGGCTCCGAGTCTCACAAACCAAACCAGAATTGGGGTGGGAACTTAGGAACACTTAGGATCTAAAGAAGGTGCCATATCATTCGGCCCCAGAGGCCTGAGTTTTTTCCAGTGCGCCCTCCGATCAGAATCTCCGCCTTTATCCAGGTTGCGTCTGTTCTTTCATAAAGGCTACTGAATCCTGCTCAGAGCATCTTCCCCCAGAATCTCAACCCTTGGGAACATTGCAGTTCATTTGAAACTTACAGGGGGTGACCCATGACATGGCTTATCTTATTCTTCGTGTGTATGTGCGTGCAAAAATAAGAGCTAAGATTTCCTGAGAGCTTTCTTTGAGGCAGGTGCTGTGTTACGCGACATATACATACAATACACATGTGCACGCAATATATGTATGGCGTATATATAGTCCATCTCCCCAGCTGAACAGTAAGCTTCTTGCGGGCAAGGGCTGAGTTCCAAAGTTGGTTCTGTGCCTCCGAGAAAGCTTAGGATGGTGCTGGGCACTCAGGAAACACTCAGTAAACATTCCTTGGCTATCAGCGAATCCCAAGAAATTAATGCAGCTCACTTCGGAAGGAATGTTGAGTGAAATAATCTGAGAATCAGATTCATGAGTGAACACTTTTGACTGCCAGCTCTACGAATGCAATCAGTGTGGGTTGTCCTTCATCGATTAGTGTATTGTGGCCGAAAAAGCACTGGGCTGGAAGTCAGGTGACATGCATCTCATCCCACTTCCGTGACCAGGTCACAGTGGCACCTCGGACAAGTCTCTTCCACTCTCTGGGCCTTAATATCCTCAGAGAAGGATTCGGACCAGATGTCTGTAAGCCTCCTCCCAGCCCCAAAGGTTGTGATTTGATGACTCTATTTTACAAATGCACGTACTTCCTGTTTGTGACATAAACCCCCACAGAAAAACAAAATCGGTGATAAATTATGAAAAAACCAGATGCCATGATCGTTTGCACTTTCTAAGGTGCTCGATTCTAGAAATTCCATCTCTACCTCGCCTGCCTCTCCAGGGCGACAGCAGATCCGAGGCTGTCAGTGGAGCAAGCCACGCAGTCTCTCCCTATAATTGTATTGACAGGATATCAGCTGAGTTCCGATGGCAGGAAAGGTGCACCCTGACAGGTTCTGTGAAGGAGCCTTGAAGGCTATTGTCGCAGGATTCTACGTTGAGTCACAGAATTCTGGGGAAATGGGAATCAAGCGAGAAGCAGCTTGGTTTTTTCTCTATTTAATTTTATTCTTCCCAGAGAGTCAGATTTGAGGGGAAACTGGCTAACGGCACATCACTTTCTACAATAGAGTAGACGCTCTTTCGAACAGAAGCTATTTACATCTTTTGGTGGGCACATAAAACCCAGAGTTGATTCCATCGACCCCGCTAATAACAGGTCGGCTTGGTTTTAAATGAGGCAAACAGTGGTCGAGCATTTGTAGATAAAGCACCGGCTCGGATGTCTGAGCTTTTCACTTTGCACTTGGTAACCGCGGCATCTTGCAGACCTGTTCTTGAATAACTGATGTGTTTTCGTCCTGGTAAATTCTGTGGCTGTGAAATAGCGGTATTGGGTTTGTTCGGGCGGTGTGTCTGCATCTTAAATGAAAAAAGTCCTGATCCTGTTCCGTGGAGAGCACAATCTGAGCGACAAACCCCCCAATATGGTAGAATAAATGACTGGTCCTTAGGTGCTGTATTCTCCCAATATATATGCAACCTTCAGGTTCAGACTTAGCCGGAACCAAAATACACTTCAGTTCCATTCATCCTCCTAAAGACACCCACGGCAGGGGGCTCCCCCACCTCCGCTGTACACAATAAGAAGGTGCACACAACACAGGGGTCTGAAAACCAGGGCTTGTGAAACTGACATGCCACAGGGAAGAAATCCATAAGCCAAGACTCCACGAGAACCCCAGCAACCTATTACTTAGAAAAGATTTTCTTAAAGGCTCCAAAATCTTGAATATTTTTAATCTTCTCCTGCTCTTGAAAGACGAAAACTCCCGAATTTTTAAATTAGATACAATATTTTTTTTAGTATAGGAAGGCGCTTAGAGGGGTAAAAAGAACGCTGGGCCAGGAGCCAGTGAGCGTAGCTTCTAACCCAGACTACTCTGCCAGAACCCGGAGCAAAGAGCCCACCGCAGATGGCCCCGGGTCCCCACTTGTCAAGGGGGGTCTGGAAAAGGTAACAGTTAAGGTTCCTTCTCCCTATCAATGTCTCTGCAATTTTTATTTAGGTCAGGTTTTGGTAGGAAATCTCGTAGAAGTGGTTAACCCTGAAACGTGGACATAATCTTAACTGCCACAGAAAGTACCGGAAGGTGGACATTAGGAGAGGCCCTCTGGCCCCGGCTGCCCCTGACAAGGGAAGAGCCAGGTGCAATCAGCGGAGAGCGCCTGGACAGAGCCCCCTGCCACTAGGACTCTGTCGCCACTGGCCAGAGCAGTCCTGTCCGCTGTCTCATGCCCTGAAGACCGAACCCCTCGTCATCAGCCGGTCATCTGCCCATTTTCTAAACCTAAATTCAGGCTCACAGAGCAGAGAATTGACTCTGTCCCGGAGGCTGTTCAGCTAGTGCCACCCAGAGGCCAAATGTTGTCCTTGGAATGCAGTGGGGGAAGCAAAAGGGAAAAGGAAGAGTTTACTTATGTGTGTACAGTACACATAGATTCTATTTGCATAGTGCACATAGACACATGTGTGTATACATGTACACACGTTAAACGTGTGTGTATACATGTATATACCTATATGTATATATAGCTTGGGTTGGGCATCGCACACCACTAATTCATCATGGACAGCAGTGACTCCATAATGACACTTATTTCTTATTTAGGTGGGAAGGAGTTGGCCACCAGTGACTGCCTGAGTGAAAGCCATGACCTAACATTAAAGCAGTTGATCAGAGGTGGGGTACATGGTTCTCCCCTTGGTCCCAGAATGGTGAAGCCCATCTGTCTGTCCCATCTGTCCCATCCGAGAGTGGCTCTTCTCACTTAGAAATAAGTGAAGGACCTTGTTCTACTTCAGGAGGCCTAAGAAAGTGGGTGTATAAGATGGAAGGGCGCCGAGTGTGACAAGCCAGTTTCCCCAGGCGCAGGCACAGGCGCAGGCACAGGCGCAGGAAGGTACTTTGGGAAAGGCAAGGAGAGTCCGTATTTTCACAGGAACCAAATAACTCGGTCAATTCTAGCACGGGGTTAAGAAGAGCCCAGGTTCCCTGCGCCAAAAAACGGAAACCACCAACGAAAACCCCGGGGCTCTAACCAGAGCCTGGCGTTCAGGTAAATAAATGATTGTTAGGGAGTCCTTAGTTACCACCTGCGCCTTCCACCCCCGACATCTGGGGACGGCGCTCATTTTTAAAAGCACACTGCCCTCCAGTGGCGCAAGGTAACTTTGCTCCGTGACTCGTTTCGCAACAGCCAGATCTCAACTTGACTTTTCCTGGGGCCCTGGGAAAAGCGTTGGGTGTTGGGCGACCACCACTACGGGAACGAGACTGAAGTGCGGGAACGTGCAATAAAAGAGGAGGCGATCTCGTTAGAAACCGCGGTCCCCTCCAAAGGCAGAGATTCGCGCTCTTTCCTTAGTGCTGTAACCCTGGCTCAGAGTTTGATCCGGCGGAGATTGAGGTACGAAGTGATGCTTCCAGGAGAGATACCCCGCGCTCACCGCGCAGCGGCAGCCCCGCGTGCAGGGGAAGGGGCGGGGGCGGCCGGCGCCCTGGGAGCGAGAGGGCTGGCAGGTGGTGAGTAAGGACATACAGTCTGGTTGCGTGCGACCTGTCTGTCGCCCCGCGGGCTCACCAGCAGGCGCCCGGGTAAACAGCAGCAGCCAACATTGCAGGCTCGTCGCGTGTCAGCCGCTGTGCCAGGGGTCCCGCAGGAAGCACCCTACTCATTCTTCCTAACCACTCACTTTAACGGGTGCCACTACCCTCCCACTGTGAGGATGAGGAAACTGAGGCTCGGAGAGGCGATGCCACCTGCCCGTGTCCGCATGGGGGTCCAAGTCTGCCTGGACCAGAGCTGGCTTCAACGCTGCTCTCGAACCGGGCCGTGGGGCAAAAGCTGGACGCGGCCGCGCTCAGTGCGGGGACGAGCGCGAAGGGTGGCGGGCGTGAGGGCGGCTCACCTTGACGATGAGCGGGTTCTGAAACATGGAATCCCGCACGACCCCCAGCCTCTCGTTCTCCATTCCCGGCCGGATGTCGGCCACGGTCAGGGGCCGCCGCGGAGGCGGGCAGATGTGGCTGACCGTGCGGCGCACCGGCTGCTTCTTCTTCCGTCGCATGAGGTCCTGACTGGAGCTCTTGGCCTCTGGCATCCTGGAGGTCACGGGGAGTCGACCCGGGGGCTGGATCCGGCGCGCTTCCCAGCTTGGGGGCGAGCGCGGAGCTCGGAGGGGCCCACAGCCAGTCCCGGACCGCACCACCCGGACCCCGGGGTGGGCACCGGACGCCGGGCTCCCTCCGAAGCGGGGCGCGGCAACCTCGGCCACCCTTTCATTGCAAAGAGGCCTAAAGGTCAATATAAGCCCCTCTGGTTCCTCGGAGCGTCTTCCGGGGGCCGCGCTGCGGTTTGGGAAAGGAGAGAAAATCAAGATCACCCCTTAAGGAAGAATGGTACGGTCCGTCTCCATGGCGACGGGACGCCAACAGTTCTGGCGCGGTTCTAGTGTGGATCCCTTTTCTTTCAGGAACTATTGGCGGCCACTAAAGTGAACCTGTTCAGAATTTTCTTAAATTGCGTGACAAAACCCCAAGAATCACCAATTTGTTAAAAGCGACGGGGCGCTAGACGGTCATTTGCACTTGACTTCCACGCCAAAGGTACCCTCCCTCCACTCATCCCCACGCCACTCACCGCCTCTTCTCATTTCTCCTCCCGGCGCCACGCGCACACACACACACGCACGCACGCACGCACGAGACAGAGCGGTAAATGTTCACGACGAATTAGAAATCCTCATTTCAGGCTTGACGTTCCTGCTCATCCATTGAGTGATCTCGAATTAGTCACCCTCTTGGGTCCTCGGTTTTTGCCTCTGTGAAATGCGTAGAAAGGAAAGTCTTGAGTTAAAGAGATCGGCGGTACCCAACTTTGTGCAACAGAATGAAGGGAAGGTGAAAACCCTCAGATTCACTGAATCAGAATATCTGGAAATGGGATCTGGGGATCCGCATTTGAAAAAACCTCCTCCCTCCCTTCCGGCGTTTTTATTTTGAAAAAGTTCAAAGCTGCAGGAAAGTTGAAAGAACAGTACAGTGAAAACCCACGTGAACTTCACCTAGATTCTCCAGTCCTTAGTATTTGCCACATTTACTTTCTCACTGTGTGTCACACACACACGTTTTGAAAACATCTGCAGACAGTATCATATTTGACCCAAAGCACTTCAGCATGCGTCCGCTCCAAACAAGGCCCTTCTCATATATAACTGCAATGTCATTATCATGTCTATGGATTTTAATGTGACACAATAATAATGCCTGATACACAGTCCATATGCAAAGTTGGAAATCTGCACTTTTTCAAAGCTTCCCACATGACTAGTGCCATGTTTTCAGAGCCACGAGCCTGGATGATCTCTCGTCTGCCTTCCAGAGCACACCTTTTGTGGGTTCATCCACCCACCATTATTATCTTCATCAAAGGTGCAAATATCCACTCGGCTCAGAGGTCACCTGAGAGGGGTTCACCACAGAGCAAGCTGCACCGAGGAACCTGCACTTCAAGGCCTTACATACCAACAGTGGACAACACCGTCACCGCCATTTGCAAAGCGGGCCAGACAGACTTCCAACTGCTCGACCGAGGCCTGAAGCAGCCCTTGGGTGGTGACACGTGGGTGTGTATAATGTGTGCTTATGGGGTTTCCAGCCCGCTTCACTTCCGGACCGTCACAGAAATTTGTGCACTTTTCAATCAAAGCCACTGGGCAGCTGGCACAGAGGAAGTCGGGTGTTGCAGTGAGGGGCAGGACAGTGGAGTGGTGGAGAAAGCACACCGAATCCTAGTTGGGCCACGTAAGTCCCCTTGGACAAGTTATGTTAAGTCCTAGTTTTCTGCCCCACAGGTGAGGCTGATAACACCTAACAGATACCTACAACACAGGGTCGTTACAGGATGAAATGAGAAAACAAGGTGCCGATATGGTTATGCAACAGGGCTATATCTACTGGCTCCAACTTGATGGCCTGGCAAAAGCTTTACTTGTAATCACAGACTAAGTTTCTTCAGGACTCAGTTGAAATGGGAAGATTCCAAGGCTGCTCCTGTCCCATCTAAGCTTCCTATGCATCCCACCTGCACCAGCTAGCCCCTGCCCACCTGACTTCATCGCCTACCAGTCTCCCCCTCATTCACTGTGCTCTGGCTGCCTTGGCCTTCTTCCAATTCCTCCAGCAACCAAATTCGGGGCTTTCGTATTTGCTTCCAGCGTGGAACAGTCTTCCACCTAGAATTTTGTTCGCCCTTTTCACTTAGAACTCAGTTCAAATGTTCCTCCTAAAAGGGCCTTCCCTTCCTGCAGCATTCCCTGTCCTCAGTCATTCTCCATCACATTACCTTGTTTTATTTTCCTTATAGGGTAATTTCAAATTATCTCGGTTGATTTGTGTGTCATGTCTTCCTGGGGCGAGGGACTTCATCGTCTTGATCTCATCAGGACTATAGATAGGGAGCAGCAAAAAAATGTGTTGCATAAACGGAATGCATGCACTAATTAGCAAGTCTACGGAAGAATTCTGTCTCCCTGTCGTAGTTTTAGGCTCACGCTCTGTCCCACCCCAGGAACAAAACGGGCAGGCCACAGCGCACGTGTCACAGTCTGAGCTGTGAGCACGTCTCTATGGCAGCGGGATGCCGGCGTGGACCGGAAGTTACGTACGACTACTTCCGCTCCACAGCGGCCGCACTTCCGGACGGGGAGAACGGCGCTGACGCCTTTCCGACGGTAGGTTGGAAGCGCTTTTTTGTTGAAGCGGTTTTCGGGCGCGCGCGTGTAACTAGAGCGGGGTCGGGGGGCGGCCCTCGTCCCCGGGAGCCCCGCCTCCGGCCTGGGGTCACCAGGGACGGGGGCGCGCGCTTTCTCCGCTGCCTCCGCGGGCCGGTCCGCGCGCTCGGGTCCCCAGGCGCAGACGGTGGAGACCAGACCTGCGGCCACGCCGCCCCTCTGCGCCCCGCAGCGCCCGCCCAGGCCGGAGCGCGGTCTCTGTGGCGCCCCAGAGGCCGTGAGCGAATGCGGGGCCGGGCTCGGGCACATCCCCGCCGGGCGGGAAGCGGCGCCTTCCGAATAAGTGGAGATAAATGCGCATCCGCTCGTGCCATAGGCACCGAGCCCTGGGTGCTGTACGGTATCCCAGCCCTTTGGAGACCGGTCTTGTCGCTTCGTTCCGAATAAGTGGAGATAAATGTGCATCCGCTCGTGCCATAGGCATCGAGCCCTTTGGAGACCGGTCTTGTCGCATCTGAGCCAAGTGCAATAGGGAAGCGGCTGGGTTGTCGGGGAACACTGCACGCCAGGGAGACAGGACCCAGTTAAGCCATCAGAGAGGCTTTCTTAAGCGACCAGTGATAGCGCAGAAAGGTAACGCGGAGGAAAAGCATTCCGCGCAGAAAGAGCTGCTTTTGCAAATTCTCTGCCAGTGAAAAGGCACATGGTGTATTCTAGGAACCGAAAGAGGGCAGGGTCTCTGAAACCCAGAGAGAAATGAGAGCTGGACAGGTAGGCGTGGACCAGGCCGCATCACGAAGGGCATGGTCGGTCTACAGGGTGTTGGGATTTAAGAATAACGGGAAACCATTAAAAGTTTATAGCGAGAGATGACTATATTTAAAAGATGCTGAGTTCAAGAAACCAGGCGAAGCTTAAGAGGTATTTACAAAATAGAAACTGACGTAAGGTAGAAGAACATTTAAAGGAATCATCGCCTCCGTTTGTCGTTACTAAGAGGTCCTGAAAGATGGTCCAGGATGGTGTTTTTTGAATGTGGTGGCCTGAGGGTCACAGGCACTTACTGGAGCAGTCTCAGGGGAATTGTCGGGGTGGGAGCTACAAAGAAGTGGGTTAAGAAGTGGATGGAAGGTGAGGACATAGAGCAATTTCTCTCTTAAGAAATTTCGCTGTGAATGGGGAGGAAAGAGAATAGGCAGGTGGGGCCTTAGGGTTATAGGATGGTCGCCACCTTTGTTTTGTTTCGTTTAACTTGGAAGAGTCTAGAGATTGTCAGGGTGTTGCTGGGAGGGAGCCGGGGCAGTGGAAGAGGCTGAAGATGCAGGAGAGAGAGGGGTTACCTGATGCATTGTGGTTCCTCTGAGAACGTCGGGCAGGAGGACGTCGGGATCCAGCAGCACACGCGTGCCACGTGGCCTCTGACGGGAGAAGGGTCACTGGTGTGATAAAAGAGCAAGAGAGAAGGGGATACATGCAGGCAGGCTTGCTCGGTTTCGAGGGTAACGTATTTCTTGTCTAGTGTGCGTGAGGTCATAGCAAGTTAGTCCGCTGCACTGAGAAGGAAGAATGAAATTAGAAGTTTGTCGAGAGGTGAGGAGAGTGGAAATAATTGTTTCAAAACGAGCGGGCGAGTGAGCTGTCTGGAGCAGTGCTGTCCCAAAAAAGTAGAATGCAAGCCACATATGTAATTTGATATTTTTTAGTAGCCACAATAAAAAGCATAAAGAGGAGAAGGTGGAATTAGGGATTATATTTTACTTAACAATATCCAAGCTATTATTTTCATATGAAAGCAATATATAAAAATTAGGAGACATTTTACTGTCTTTGTTCTAAGTCTTTGAAATCCAGCGTGTGTTTTACACTTGACCGTAATTTGGCCTGGCCACATTTCAGGTGGGCTAGTGGCCCCTGTATTGGACAGCACAGATCTAGAGGGACACAGTTCGATTCCTGAGCAGTGTTCAGATCCCATGTATAGTCAGCACCCAGGTGTTTAGAGTGCTGCCCATCTGGCCAGATGTGAGTTTTTTCTCCAGCTATCCGTAGGAGCTCAAGGGCAGCCAAAGAGAAAGCTTAATTCATTACAAAAAAAATATTTAATGAGTCTCCCCACCGCCATGAGCCAGGCGCTGCACTAGATGCTGGGGCTGCAGTAGTGTATGAGACAGGCAAAGTCTGCTAGACTCTGAGTAGGGAGTCAGCTTGCAGAACTCACCCTACCTATAGCCGAGACCTCAAAGAGGTAATAAGTAGGTTTCCTTGCACCTCTGGGTGACATCAGGGAGGAAGGCGGCCTTAACCAAAGCTCTAGGTGGTCTACGGAAGGCGAGACCCTGAGGCTGGGGGATTCGGCTCAGAGTAGAAGTCCACACGTTCATTCATAGTCCCCTCCCTCCAGCCACACAGTTCTTACAGCTTCTTTACTACGCAGGAGAAATTAGGGCCTTCTCTAAAAAACTGCCATCCAGACGCGAAAGACCACCGATACAGAGCGATCTCCAGGACCCGTTGTTAAGGGAAAAATAACACAACGCGGTTCAGAATATATAGATATACCTTCTGTGTAAGAAAGCAGGAGAATAAGAACAGATTATTTTGATGTTGAAACCATACAAACGTGTCACCTAGTCAAAGAGAAATAAAATCTTATGAACGGAAACCCAGAAGCAATAGAGCGCAGGGCGAGTTCTAAGACACGTTTGTAGAATCTTTTATCAGGCTCGTTTCTCTTACTGTACCGCTCCACACGCACGTGCTCGATGTGAGTGCCGACACTGGGGCCTCGTTAAACTTCATTCCAACCCATTGTAGGATTGAGACACATCCAGCCTTCCTCAAAGAGGCGACCTTCTGTTTGAGCTCACTGGACAGTTGACGTCCCCACCGTTCAGACCCTGCTGGCCCTGCACTGTAATGTCGAGTTCAAGGACGTGGTCTCCGGGAGGTAGAACTACAAACAGACTGCCTTCCTTCTAGGAGGTTCCTTTTTTAGCAGGGGAGACAGACATTCAATGACTAAGTAAATAACTATATATTTTAAAAGTACAGTTGGCTAAATGCTACAAAAAGAGAAATACAGGTTGCTATGAAAGAACATCTTTTGGGGAATGAGCCAAGCCCAAGGCATCAGGAAAATTTTTTTTTTTTTTTTTTTGTAACTACTTAATACATTTATATCCTTCAATTGCTTGTTTTTAAACATAAATAGACACCCTGTCCTCACTACCCCAATTAAGAAATAAAACATTACAAACATAAGGGAAACTGGCTCTATACTTGGCCCTCCTAATCCTTGAATTTGCCAGTTATAATCCCCATACCTATATTCATAGTTTTGTTAGAAGTGTATCCATTCAGAAAAGAGACATAAAATTATTTGTGCGTTTTCATATACATGGTATAGTGTATACATCCTTTTAACTAGAGGAAGCTTTCTGAAAGAAGTGATATTCAAGCCAAGCTCTGAGGGATGAAAGGAGGCAGGGAAAGGGGGGAGGCAGCAGAGATTGTTCCAGAAAGAGGGACTCCAATGCCAGGGAAATGATTACAGCATGTTTGGGGAACCAAAAAAAGTCACGTGCACTGGAGCGCAGAGTTGGAAAGGAGGGTTAAAGGATGGAGCTTCGAGGGGGACAAGGGCCCGAGTGTGCAGGGCACTGTTCTCTGTCAATGACTGTTAACTGTTTTTTTTCTATGTCATAAAGGCAGTGGGGCCAGATAGAATCAATTACAGTGTACCCCCTGTGCATTCAGAATAGTGTAAAATTTATCATCATGATCCAGACTTGTCAAGTGTCATACAGTTTCATTTGTCTGTGATTTTTTTTCTCCTGAAGCTAATGTTTAAAATGCTTTGCAAAAATAAACCATTGTTGTCAAATTTCCCTATAGGAATAAAATGGAAGGAGACTCGAGCAGATCAGAAATCCACACTCCCGTTTTTGACAAGAAAAAGAAAAAGCATTCTGTGTGTAAGGAAAGGCATCGGAGGCATTCCCATGAAAATTCCAGAGACTCCCCGCTGGCACGCGAACTCTCTCACAAACCGAAGAAGAAAAAAAAGAGAAAGGGTTTTCAGCAAATGGTTTCTTCTCCTTTGAAAACATCAGAAATCTGTGATGAGTCTGAAAAGGCCACTTGCACAGTCAAAAAGAGGAAAAAGAGAAGAAATAGTGCCTTAGGGGGACCAGACGAGACAGGCGGCGTGTACGTCATGACGGACAAAGAAAACATCGAGAGCAGGCCGAAGACTTTTAGAAGGAATGTCGACGTCGTTTATGTCGACATGAGCAAGGGACACAAGTCAACCCGAGAGCCCGAAGCAGAGGAAGCGCATTCCGTCACTAAGCGACATAAAAAAGAATCAGAGGAACGGCATAATAAAATTAGGGAGAAAAAGAAGAAGAAGCGTCGGCTGGAAGCTGCGTCCCACGATGCAGATGCTGGGTGGGAAGGCCCGCCCCAGCCCGAGTCTCATGAGCCGGAGTCCCTGCTTCCTGTGGGCCTGGAAGGCGAAGTCACACCACCGCCAGGGTCTGCCCATAAAAAGAAGTCTAAGAAAAGAAAGAGAAAATTTTCAGACGCCCAGGAAAGTGAGACACTGACCGTGCCCGAGAGTCTCGAGAACGTGAACGCTGAAGGGTCACACGTGGTCCGTGAGGTGGGGACTGCAGAAGGCGGGATGGGACCCAGCAGGAACAGGAAAAAGGCTAAGAAAAGAAGGCGGAGGTCTTCCGGCGGAAGTGCCCTGCCGTGTGCTGGCGACCCCCCAGGGCGCAGCGCCCGCTCCGAGGACCCGCTCTTTGAGTCCCTGGAAGGTAATGGTTGCTTGATTGAAGAAAGGGCGAGACCCAGGCCACACGAGGAGGAAACCCAGGCGCGGTCGCAAGAGGTGCAGAGGTAACGCGGGAATGTCGCGCCTTCTGAGGGTGTCCGCCTTTTGTAGGAATTCTGCCTGGGACCGGCCCCCATTCAGCTCGGCTGTAGTAAGGGGCAGAAATCGTGACGAGATAGGCCACGAAAGGTGCGGGGCGGGGTGCACGCGTGTGTTTCTTCACACGTAAAACAGACAGTCGGGATGAGATTTTCACTAAGAAGTATTCCAGCCCTGAAATTCTATGATGAGGCTCAAAAGGCATTTTAAGACCCCCAAATTACCCTTGTTTGTCTATGTGCATGTAGACGGAAGGCAGAGGTACTTAGAATGTTACAGGGCCGGAGGAAAACTTCAGTTACGGTTCTCACTAAGAAAAGAGATTTAGATATATCATCATTTATACGATTATTTAAGGACGTTGTCTGATGAATAAATGCAGGATTTTTTTTAACCACTTTATCTCAGTTTCTGAGACTTGGGACAGATATTTTCTCTCCATTTATATTTGTTAGGTTGTCCTGGCTTAATTAAAATAATTCCAGTTAGAAATGAGAGAGGACGGGGGTCCCCGTGTCACAGGCTGTTGATGACAGTTGCAGCCCCACTCACGACATCCTCTATGTTGTCTTATCTGGGACATTTCCAGAATGCTGACCGTGAGGCAGGAATGTCCTAGGACTGTGGTTCTTGGCTCATGCTGGGCTGTGGGCCATCTGAAAGCCATTGGCCCTTTGCTTAGACGAATGCACACAAAGTTTTTTTCAGCTTCCTATCCGGTTAGCTGATACAGGCGAACACATGAAAAGTAGATTTGGACATCTGGCAGAGAGTTTGGGGGTGAATTGATGATGGATCCATAGTACATTAAGCAAAGGGGAAAATGTGGCCATTATCGATGACAGTGAAAACACCTGTGACTGTCGAAACCCTGCACGCTAATTTAACTAGTAACCATTACTGTAAAACTTAACTCATTGGAAGGGTTGGGGAGAGTTGTCTTGAGTGTCCATGGGGGTAGAAGGGGACGCGGTTTATTAGGAAGTCAATACCTCCAACAAAAAAGAAGTTGAGACGTAATCATAAAGATGCCTGGCGGAAGCGGGCTGAGGGCCGCACGTCTGCCGTCGAGCACGTCCCAGTGTCGGAGTTCCATGGAAAGTTTATGCGTCCCCGCTGAATCACCGCTGGTCTCCGTGAGAGTCGTCTCAAGAAAGGGATTTGAAAGCTCTCGGGGCGCGTGACAACATTAATCAATCCAGCTTCCCCCCCGCAGGTTTGAACCTGCAGACGAAGAAGAAAGCAACGTGGAGTCGGCCAGAGATTCTGAAGCAAAGCTTTCCTCGGAAGATCCGAGAGATTCGGACGGTTCGGACGTGGACCTGGATTCCGCCGTGCGGCAGCTGCAGGAGTTCATCCCCAGCATCAGGGAGCGGGCCGCCACGACGATCAAGCGCATGTACCGGGATGACCTGGGACGGTTCAAAGAGTTTAAAGCGCAGGGTGAGCCGGGAGGCCGTGGCGCCTGTCACCTCTCCGCGTGCGTCGCTGCCCCTCCTTTCTCCTCGGAGTGGTTCAGGGCTGTGGATCCCCGAGCATCACGTCCCGTAGCAGCTTTCAGCTCTGTCTCCTTCCAGAATTGTCCGAGTCGAAAGCTTAGCCAAACGGAGCGTGCAGGTTTCCCTCTTCTTTGCCCAGCTTCTGGTAGAGGAGGCGGGAGGAGTGGGGCTGAAGGGACCCGATACGCCGCAGACTGAAGCTGATCCTGGGCGGGGAGGAGCAGGAGGTCGGTTGGTCGCAGCACTGGGGAGGGCACACGAGTGAAATCAAACTGAAGCGCTCACGTCAGCATCATCGACAGAGATGAGGTGTAATTCTCTCCAGGATGTTGATTTGAGGGGGAGCTGGCTGAGTGGTTGCAAGCAGGGTCCAATGTGGTCTCCCTCTCGATTTCACTGGGTCCCAGAACCTCCCAGAAAGCTTGTCAGATTTCAGAATAAAGTACGAGTGTGAGGCTGTGTACTACAAATGAGCAGCATTTACTGAGTGCCCAACGGCACTGGTCACTGAAAAGTGAAAATAGACGAGTGAGAAAAACACAATTCGTGGAGCAGTATTGAAAAATAATCCATTTTATTGGTATATTCTGTGTTGAAATTTTTACAAGCACGTATTTTATCAAAAGTATCTTAAAATAAGCGAGAATAGAAAAATATGCTATATAATGCAGTCGATACGTAAAGAAGCTTGAGCGCTTCGAGCTTCAAAGAGAAATAGAATGTCAGCTGCAGTGACATTGTCACCCCTCCCCCTAATAGAAGTGCACAGAGAGTCTACACAGGTGTCCGTGTCCACGCCAGCCAACCCACAGCGCTGCCTTAGGGCGAGTAGTGTGACAGGAGAGTGAAGGGGGACTTAAACTTTTACCTCAGTACTGCTTGGAATTTTATTGAATGTGTGTTTCTAATATAAAAATATTTTAAAAAGAGATCAATGAGTCAGGAAAGGTCATTTTGGAATGGGCGACCAGGGAAGGCTGGGAGAAGAGCGTAGCTTGAGCTGACCGCTGAAGGAAAACTGAGTTGCTGGGGACCTGGGGGCGGGGGAGGCTGGGAGAGCAAGTGTCAAGGGCAGGGGGAGGGGCTGCTCCCTGGCAGGCCGTGTATTGTGATTAAGGGTTGGCTTTTATTCATTGACAATACATGCTTTCTCTCGCCCCAAATCCTAGGCGTCGCCATCAAATTTGGCAAGTTTTCCGTAAAGGAAAATAAGCAGTTAGAGAAGAACGTGCAGGAATTCCTCTCGCTGACGGGAATTGAGACCGCAGACAAGCTGCTGCACACAGACAGGTACCCAGAGGAGAAGGCGGCGATCACCGACCTGAAGCGGAGATTTGCGTTTCGGCTGCACATCGGTGAGTGGAGGACGCTCTGCCCCGTCGCCATCCGCCTTGAAACGCGCGAGCCGTGACGGGCATCTGGCGACAGGCGAGCCGCGGCGGGCATCAGGCACAGCGCCGGCCCGTCAGCGCGTAGTGCGTGTCAGCTGCTGCCGCGCCTGGTGGCCTTCTTACCCGCAGCCTGTGTTTTGGGGCTTTAGGGGTGTGCTCATGCCTCCCAAGGATAGCGCTTTACAGATTTTATGAAAAAGTAAATGACCGATTTTTGCCTTTCACTCGGTGATAATTACAGGTGAGTTTCTCTCCCTGTTCTGCATGATGGGTCCTTTGCGATTACTGCACAAAGCACAGCGTCACGTGCACCCGGGTCTCTAAGTGTGTTAGATGCGGCCGTATCTGTGCTTGCAGCCAAACCTTCCTCCCGGAGGTGATGTTTGGGCAGTCGGAAGGCCATGAAGCAATACAGGATTGGATTGGAAAGACTCTTGAATTTAAAGAGCATAATCTCCTGGGCTTTCTCTGGAATGCACCAAGGACCACAGCGTAGTGAGCCCCGTGGGGGCTCGTCCCATCTGCAGAGGGGAACGCCAGGAAGGCGTGTCTCTTTATCTGTATCTTACGGAGAACTGTTGGTGTGTGTCCCCTACCATAGCCCCCCTTCCTTTCTATTGAGATTATGTTAAAATTACTTTGCCTTATAAGGGTCTTTTCCATGAATTTCATTGACTGGAAGCTGGAGCTTCTACATACTAACATCCAGTTTTCAGAGATCTCCAAGGAAACGGAGGGTTTTGTACATTCGCTCCCCAAGACCGTTTCCCGTAGGACGTGGGAAATCCCAGCCTGACTGTGGGTCCAGGGCAGTTAGTGTCTGGGCTCCTTAGTCGTGGCCGTACTTCATGCCACCCTCAGTGCCCCTCTGACCCCTCCCTTCTGCCTTCAGGTAAAGGCATCGCCCGGCCCTGGAAACTCGTGTACTATCGGGCGAAGAAGATGTTCGACATCAATAATTACAAAGGCAGGTAAGAACGACGTCTGAGCAGCTGCACACAGGACATTTTTGTAGTCTTTGCTGATACTACAAGTCACGATATTGAAAACAACAGATGAGAAGTAAAAAAAGCCATAAATGTTTCTGTGTGTGCGTCTGTTGTCAGCTGGGTGTCTTGACCCGCTGCAGCCCCCACCTCTTTAATCTTTTGTGACCATCCCTTCTCTAAATCCTCAGCTTTTCCTTCATACTTTCTTTTTAGCTCTCGGCACGCTGTGCTTCTCCTACTGTTCCTCAGGGGGTCTCCTCTGCTCACCTGTAAGGTCCCCGTAAACCCAGACATTCTCTCTCAGATGTTCCCGTCAGCACTGGGCCCAGTTCTTTGGGTTTTCTGTGAATATTTGAAGGGAGAGGTAAGCACTAGTCTGAAGTCATGTAAGTGTGATTCAGTGTAGATGCAATGCCGGTGCTTACGTATTGACGGTCATTCTCTCCTCCCTTTTTTCCTAGATCAAATACGCAATTAAAGTTTGTTTCCAACATTTCAAATAAAACAAATGTCAGATAAGTGTCAGATGTGGCTAACCTAAGCTTTCTGCTCAAAGGCAGGGATGAGCAAGAAGGCGCTGGCCCCCACCTCTGAGGACCCAAACAACAGCCACTGGCTCAATGACTTGGTCTCACTCTGGGAGACGAATTTAGTAAATGCAGCAGGGCCAGCTGAGTTCCATTGAGCTATGTGACTTAAAAAAGACATGCGTATTATCCGAATTTCAAACACTGGTTTCTTTTTTTTAAATTTTTACCCAAAGGAGTAAACCCTAAGTAGAGGAAAGGTCCCCCACGCAGACCGACCCCTGCCCCGCCCCCTTTCTCAGGCCGCAGCGTTAGACAGCCGAGGACAGGACTTTAAGGAAGTGTACTGAAGAGGACATTCGACATGGAGCCTGATGCTTTTGGGAAATGAATGATGAGGCCGAGGTAGCACTTTTCTACCTGTGTGTAGCGTGGGAATGAAATGTGTAGAACGATAAAAGCTCGTCATCCTAACGCTAAAGCTCATTGCTTCGTACCGTATTATTTGTGTCATGGCGACTGTTTACCCATAGAATATTTTTCCAACTTAAAGAATTCTTAACCGGAAAAAAATGTAGGAAGTCAAAAATCACAGAATTTTAGGGCTCCGGGGGGCTTATAGGTCACTATACCTGTTTCCTCATTTTTGTACACTCGGTTTCTCTCTGATGTCCTCATTTCTGTGGCTCCAAGGGTGTCTTTAAGTTCTTTTTAAATCTCGGAAAGACCCAGTTTGCCTTGAGAAGGAAACTCCTAGAAAGTACAGTTCCTGATAGTGAAGGATCACGCGTCTCTTTACTGTGCTCTGCCTCCTCAGTGAGCTTCTGAGAACCCTAGGATCTCGTGTCTGGAACTAGTTCTGGACCGCTGTCCTCAGAAATGGTTAGTGCTTTACTAGGGCTTCTTCTGTGTTCCATCAGCCATAACATAAACCCCCCACTTCCGGCCCCCATAGCGACGAATTCTAGAATGTCGTTAAGACTGCTGTTGCTTCTCTTAAACATAAGGTGTTTAACCTCCAGATTCACTCACGTTATAGTCTTTGATTTAGTTCTTTAACCTATTTGTTTTTACGCGGCATTAATATACCTCAAATTCCTTAGATAGTTACATTTTCACGTTAAGCCATTTGTCAGTTTTATTGAATGTCAGGTGTTAAGTCTTTTGGATACCACGTGGAGAAAACCCACAGGGTCCTTGCCCTTGCTGGACTTCCCCTCCAGGGCCGTGCCATCCGTCATAGTGGCCACCAGCCTCCTGTGGCCACTGAGCACTTGAAATGTTGTCCTTCCAAATTGAGATGGACTGTAGACTACACGCTGAGCTGAGAAGAACGTGAAATATCTCATCAGGACTTCTGGACATGGGTTACATGTTGAAATGATTGCAGTTTTTATATATTGGGTTAAATAGATTATTAAATTAATTCATTAAAACTAAACATTAACTTTCACATGACCGTTAGAACATTTTAAAGGACACGTGGCTCGTGTTAGATTTCTGTGGGACAGCCGTGGTCTAGAGGAAGAGACGGGTAAACAAGGGAACCCCTAGGTATAGAATCGCAGGTCGTGATAGGTGCAGGGGGAGAAGCAGCCCCTTCTCCAGGAGAGAACAGGGCACCCTAAGCTCACGGAAGCCCTCGCTGAAGGTGCGCATGTAAGGCACCTGGAGAGTTTGCAGGTGCTGTTGCGGCAAGTGGGCGAGGTAGGCCGTTTCCACCACAGGTACACAGGTACTCTCTGAGGGGAGAACGGCCTCGAGGCCGCGGGGCTGGGCTGTGGGGAGTGCCCGGCTTTCCAGACACGTCCAGAAGTCTGTGTTTCATTGTGCATGAATTGCGGAGCGTTGGGGATTTGGACGGGGACCATCCTGACCCGGTTATTTGCTCTGCGCTGTGTGCCGAGCCGGGCCTCTGGCCCAGGACCGTGGTGGTTGAAGCATTGGGTGACCACATTGGGATGCCAGGACAGGCAGTGATGGGAGCTCTGGTCGTGGGTCGGCCTGGCACTGAAACGGCGCTAACGGCCACCCAGTGCAGCTTTCCAGGACTGCAGCGGACCACAATGAGAACCGTTTTTAATCTCATGGTTCATTCAGAGCTGTAATGCCTTTCCTTCCTCTCAGGTATAGCAAGGGAGACACCGAGAAGTTGAAGGTCTACCATGCCCTCCATGGCAACGACTGGAAAAAGATTGGGGAGTTGGTGGCTCGAAGTAGCCTCTCCGTCGCCCTGAAGTTCTCCCAGATTGGCAGTGGTAAGTTGTGGTCTCTGCTGCCCACCCGGGGAGCCCACCCAGTGAGTGAACAAGCCCGACAGGCCGCCGGCCCCCGGCAGCCAGTGCCACAGGCTTGTCTCCTGAGACGGCCGACGTTCCCTAAGCCATTCTCTGTGCCGACGCCCTTCACATCCCCGCGTGTGGTGTGGAGCCATGCACCTGTGTTCATAAGACTGACCGTTCCCACAACTCAGTTCAGTAGCTCCCAGCGCCACTGTGACTGTCAAGGGGACCGACACCCAGGAAGCTGGTGGGGGACGTCCCTTCCCCAAGGTGGCATGGGCGACTGTGGCAGGGAGGGGTGCAGTTTAGTCGGCCCGTTAGTGTTGGTGACCAATGTTGGTGATCTCTGGTCTCCTCATGTTAAAAATCCTCAGCGGCCTTAAGAAGACGGTCTTTAATCAGCGTTCCCCTTAGCACGGGGCTCACGTGCTCCCGCCCCACGGCAGAGCAGTGCAGCAGCCGGGCGTCATGTGGCCGGCGCGTGGGGGGCCCTGGGTGCATTGGAGACCACGCTTTTCCTGCCACCAGCTCCAGCCACCAATGCCATGCAAAGGCTCAGTGTGGCCAGTCCTTCCAGTTTCTAAGAAGTAAAGCAAAAATCCAGATTTTCATGCACGTGCAAAATCTAGCTGTCTTCTTCCCTTGGGATTATTTTGATTTTTAAATATTCATCCAAACTGTGATTAGGGGAAAAGTGACAACAGCGCTCTGTGGGCCAAACCAGAGGTCCTTGCCGGCTGCTGGTTTGTGGGTTCTTCCTTAGCTCAACTGAACATCTGGACAAGAAGGGAGAGCTGTAGAGGCTTCTGTCATCCCACAGACGAGCGACTCCAGAGGGTCTCAGGTGCCTTCGCTGTCAAGTGCTGTGGTGGTGTCACTGCTGCGATTATTCTAACGCTAGGAACCCCTGGGGAGAGTGTATACATAACGTAACAGCCATCAGGTTGTCTCTGTCCCATTAAATGTTCATGCAGGAGACATTATTCTCAGAAACAGGAAGATCAACTTTTTGGAAGTTAAAAAAAGATATTGCTTAAAAAAAGCCGTGGCTTCTTTAGTAGTTTCATTTTAATTTGCACCTGTGTCCGATAGTTTTATGTTTGTGTAACGGGATGTTGCCTGTTACCCTCTGAAGAACGTGGGGTTTATCTTCTTCGACTTTATTTCTTTAGCGCAGTTTTGGGGTCACAGTAATATTGGGAGGAAGGTACAGAGATTGCCCACGTGCACAGCCTCCCCACTCTCAACAGCTCCCATGAGAGGGGTACACTTGTTACAGTCCATGGACCTACGCCGACGCGTCCTAATCCCCCACAGTCCCTCGTCGACTTCGGGGTCATCTGGATGTCGTGCATTCTCTGGGTTCGGACATATGTGATGACATGCGTCCCTCATCATGATTTCATTTTTAAGACTGTATTTGAAAGCAAATAGATTAGCAACTGTGAGACCGTCTTTCTATGTCTATAGAAAGAAATCATGGTGCCTGGAGTAAGGTGGAAACTCAGAAGCTCATCAAGGCTGTCGAAGAAGTGATTCTAAAGAAAATGTCCCCCCAGGATTTAAAAGAGGTGGATTCTAGACTCCAAGAAAACCCCGAAGGCTGCCTGTCAATCGTTCGGGAAAAACTATACAAGGGCATATCTTGGGTAGAAGTAGAAGCTAAAGTGGAAACGAGAAATTGGATGCAGTGTAAAAGTAAGTGGTAAGTTTTACAGCTTCTCATATCAATTTCAACACGATCCCCACCCCCCACCCCACCCCAGTTTCTGTAGCATGGGTAGATTGGTGAGGTTCCTGAGACTGTCTGCGATACCAGCACGTGGAAAGCCTTCCGTGTCGAAAATGGTTGCTGCTCCAGCCACTTCATGGTCAATATCTGGTTTAAGTTAGCACTTAGCTCGCCCTGATTCATCGTACAGCTTCCTCATAAAGAGCTGGAGCTCTTTTAATACTGAACACTGATTTCTGTTTTCTCACTCTACCCCTTCGTAAGTCTTTTAGTAAAACAAGGTAGTTATCTGTTTGCCACATCAGAAAAAAAAAAATACAAAACTAACACAGGAGGGAAAGCGCAAGCATGGTGATCAGTAATGGCTTAGCCTTTTAAGGTTTGCTTTCTAATTTTGTGGTTCCTCTGTCTTCATCTAAAGCAAGGGGGTCCTACTTTTCATCTTAGAACTTCTCAGGTGCATCCACCACACAGAAGTCTTTTCAGTCTTGATCTTGCTGCGTGTTCTTGGCCCGATGCAGCTTTTCCCAGCCGTGGTGGGTGTCTGGGCTGGTCCTCAAAGCCCTGGTCCTTCAGCCACGACGCACACGTCATCCCCAAAGGGGATGCAAATAAGAATGAAATAAGAATGAAATCCAGAGTGGGCGTATTTTATGTTAAAAGCAAACTCCGAGGTCATACTGTTTATTGTTGATGTACCTTACAATTCTGTTGTAGAGTATTTGTTTATTTTAACAGAAGACGGCACTCAGGGGAATCGGTCCCAAAGAGCAGATGATGTTTTGGGGGAAGAGTGTATAAGGTGGAGGAACCAGAGCCCTTTCTACTCCTCCGTTTTATTTCTTTCTTTATTTATTTATTTTTATTTATTATTATTTACACCTACAGCACCTGGTCTTCCTGGGTGGTCTCCCATCCAAGTACTAACCAGGCCCGACCCTGCTTAGCTTCCAAGGTCAGACACTGGGCTTGTTCAGGGTTGCACGGCCGTAGACCATGGACCGTGGCTCCACTAGGCTGCTTACCTAGGACCTTCCGCGTGTAAAGCAGACGTGCTAACCGCTACACTATGGAACCACATCCTCTATCCCTCCATTTTAGACCAAAAAAGGAGTGGGTTATAAGCCGCACTTGGAGGATGAGCTGTCAGTGTTAAGGGAAATGAAGGGAAATCTCCTTCAGAACCAGCTCGGTTAAATAGCAGTCAGGACTTTCTTTTTAAGTGGAAGGAAAGAATAGGATACTGTAGCCTGAACACGTGTTTACTTTATGGAACATCGAGATGACCTCAAGTGGTACGTTTCAAGTCGGTGGAGACGGATGGCAGCAATGAGAACGTCGGTGTCTTTGCCATCTGTCACGTATCTCCCTTATCGGGAAGGTAAACGGAACAGCTGACAATCTGTCCGTCAGAGTGTGACAAACTTTTCTATGCAAGATAGGTACTTTTAAAATATTTGAAATTGGGTTGCTCCTCTCATTAAGAACTTCAGTCAACCCTTTCCTTCAGCCATTAGCTTTGAGCCTTAGAGAAATCATATCATTAATCACTCTACTAAATTTGTCACATTTGGTGTTCCGACAGCTGGCAGCGTTAATAAGAGCACTATCCATCTGTTTTATAAACAGTCGAAAATGAATTGAGTTTATACAGTGTCCTTTAGTGCCCTCCGATCGGCTTATTCTTTGTTTCTCCCTTTTCGAAACTTTTAATTATAGAAACTTTATAACACAACAAACGTAGAACTCCTCGTATTCATCATCCGGTTTCAATAACCGTCAACTTTCTACCATTTTCTTATCCTTTCACACTTTGTTTTTAAATAGGAATATTCTAGGTGGTGGTAAACGTCAGCAGTGACGAGCCGCAAAACTTAGAAAGCGGTTCTGAAAAAGACAATTTAGATGAGAAAAAATGTAGGAAATTTTAATAGAAACTTCACCCCTGAAAGTAAACTATTTTCCTTTCATTTAACGTAGGACGGAAATTCTAACCAAGAGGATGACAAAGGGTCGGGACATCTACCGAGGCCTCAACGCCCTGCGGGCCAAGATCAACTTGATTGAAAGGTACAGAGATCGAAAGCGCCTCTCTTTTTCTGTTTTTCTCTCGAGCCGGGGAGTAGTTGTAAAGCGGCAGAATCTGCAGTAGGGTCTCCAGGGTTCAAATCCCTGTCCCAGCACTTTCTACTTTTGTGACCTCGGGCACGTTTGCCACCTTGCTAGGTCTTAGTTTGTTCATCTTAAATGAGGATGACGGTAACAAGACCTGCCTCTTGGTGTTTTGGGGAGAAGAGATGAAATGACGCGTGTAAAGTGCCCCCGACAAACATCGTGATTCTAGACTTCGAAGGTTTCCGTGTGGCCGTTAGTTCTTTCCGTCCGTTGGAGATGGAGGCCAGGTACGCAGGCCGAGCCCTGGTGCTCTGCAGCGCTCTTCTGTTCTGTCCTTGAGTCCCTGTTCCACGCAGAGCCTGTTGAAGGAAACCTGCAGGTCTCATGGACCAGGGCTCGTGTCAAGCGAGGAACCGCAGAGAGCGGAAGACACCGGGTTCTGGCCACCCCGCGCGGCCTCACGCCCCCTGCTCAGTGACGGGCCCCGCGTTGGCGTCATGGGCGCGCGTCCTTGTTTCCCGCGCTTCCCTCTCCTTCCAGAGAGACGGTGTAGGCTGGCAGAGCTGAGGGGGGCATCTCACGTCAGGCACCCCGGGCCCAGTGTCGGCACCGCCCGTTCGTTGTGAAACCTCGAGCCAGTGACTCGGGCTCTCAGCCCGTTTCCTTGTCCATAGAGTGGAGATAGTCCCCGACCTCATCAGCGGGTGAAGGTCATCACACGGTGTCTGTCCCACAGTCAATGCTGAGGGCACACGTACCGTTGCTGTCTGTCTGCATCGAATGTCGTGTGTTTTTCCATGACAGAGCAACACAGTTTGGTGGGAAATGCAGAGGGCTCAAGAGGAAGAGAGGCGACCTTTTGGCCAGTAGCCCGCTAACTCGCTGAACTTGGGCTGACCTCGGGCTAGCGTGCCGGCCCCGCTGGGCCTATGTAACAAGGGAGCTGGAATGGGGGTGAACATTCTGACGCCTTGGCGCTTTTAATAGTCTGTGGGTCCAGGGAGATGTCCATCGTGCTGATTTTTGGTTGAAAACTTAATTTTTATATTTTCTCATAGATTGTATGAAATCAATGTGGAAGATGCTAACGAAATAGACTGGGAAGACCTTGCCAGTACCATAGGGTAAGGCTATTTGCTTAATATTAATAAAGTAATTAAAAGATAAGATGTGACTTTTAATAAATGACTGCCTTTCGGACTCTAAAGGGCAGGGCTGAGGTTTATGCCGCACGTGGAACCCATCTAGAAATTGTATCCATGTCTTTTTGTATTTGGAACCCTCCACGGTGTGTACCGGACCAAGGGAATCCGACAGCCTCTCCCCCCACTGTACCCCCCACTGAAGATGCCTGAGAAGAGCGAATGAAATGTGGGCCGCGTCTCTCAGAAGCTTCGAGCAGCTCACAAGTCTCGAGACTAGTGCAGAGAACAACAACTCGCCTCCGCCCGTCACACCCGTCCCACCGCAGTTCCTTCATCCTTCTCCCCTCCCTCTCCGGCTCCCTTCTCCAAGGCAATGAAATTTTTCCCCTGAACCGTTTGAGAGGTGGTAGTGGACCACACGCCCTGAAAAAGTAACCCAGTCCAGTTATCATACTGGGTAAACTAGACGTTGATATGATGCTAGTCGCTGACAGTCCACAGTCAAACTTCACGACTTGTCCCGATGATGTCATTCACATAGCATTTTCCCCTTGATTTAAGATCCAGTCCAGGATCACTCGTGGCATTTAGTTGTCCTTTCTTCTTAGCATCTTTCCAGTCTGTAAAGTTGTTCTGCCTTTGTCTTTGATGACATTGAAATTGTGGAAGAACACAAGCCGCTTGTCTTGTAGACTCTCACCGTGGAGTTCATCTGACGTTTCCTCCAAATGAGATTAGGGTTTTGTATTTCGGGCAGGAACATGACATAGACGAGGCTATGTTTCTGTCACCGGTCACATTGTATCATGAGGCATGTGATTCCCATTGTGATCTTTTGGCTCTGGGGGCGTCTGCCACATTCCCTCGCAGTATTACATAGACAGTTGCTTTAAGTAGCGGTGTTTCTGTTGGTGGTAAGAAGGCTGTGGGGAGGTATTCTGAGACTACGCGAAGATCCTGTTCCTCTTCTAGCTCCTCGGTAGTTTCGCTGTGCCGCTCATTTGCATTTCTCATCTGAGCCGTGAGACCAAACTTTCCTATGTTTATCATCTTGTTTATAATCGCTTACCTCTACTGCGAGCCTTCATCGCTGTAGCCCTTGCATTTTGAATCAGTTCCTGCGCCTAAAGAGAAAGCGAGTTGTTGAGCATCGCGAGGTGCAGGGTTGGGGGCCTTTTGGAAGTGGGGATGTTGAGGGATCATTTGGCCTCCAGTTTTGAGAGGGTGGGCAGTGGAGCGAGGCTGCTGCTGTGATGTCACTGATCCAGGATGGAGGGTCTGCACCGGGTCTGGTGGTTAGTCACTTACACCTTGGGATGCAGCCAGAGAACAAGCAGCCTGAACTTGGTCGGCAGGATGTCACACTAGGTGCACGGCATTATGGGAAGTGGGACAAGTGGGACAGCGCCGTGCCTTAGAATTTGGGCTTTGCAGCCAGACTGGCCTGGCATTGAGTCCTATGCTCGTCACTTGGCCGTCCTCGGGCTGTTCCCTTACTTGTCTCGGTTTGCTCATCCGCACAGCGGCGTAGCAGGGCCACAGCGAGGACAGAGGGGATAATGCATGACAGATCTTCGCCCAGTGCCTGCGGGGTGTGTCCGCTAGCGGTTGCCGTGATGAAGAGGTTGAAAGAACCCCACCCCCTTTTAGCTCTACGTACTTAACAGATAAAATGATCCACTCTAATCGTTTTAACTGCTAGATTAGGTAATTATTAAAACGCGTAAGTCGTGCTTTTCTGGTTCAAGAAAAAGTGTAGCACAGGAAGTTAGCGATTTTCTCTTTGAAAGCAAGTTTATATTTGGTTGTTTCGATCTTACTGTACGTTAAAAATGTATTGGACTCGTGAAAACATCATCAGCATCTGCTATTACTAGCTTTGCAAAATAAAAACTCAGGATGTCCGCCTTGAATTGTGATGAATACGTATTTACCCTAAACATAGTGGTTGCGGGTAGGCTTTGGAGTCAGACCACCCAGCTGTCCCAGCCCGACTGCTCAGTAGCTGTAAGGTCTTGGACAATTTCTCTACGCCTCAGTGTCCCCATCTCTGAAGTGAGGCTTAAGGGCGGTAGCTTCCCTGTGGAGCTGTCATGAGGGTCGTTTCTTGCTCTGTGGAAAGTGCTTAGGGCAGGGTCAAGTGCAAGGTAAGCATCAGCACGTTAGCCAGTGTTATAGTTCGCCTACCGACTCGTAATTTAGTTTGTTCTGTTTTAAACAGGATCCATCTTGCACTATTAATTTTCTTTGTGCGTGTGTGTTTTTTTTAACCACATGCACAGTGGCTTTCCGTCAGTGTCCTGTTTCTGTCACGCGTTCACGGACATGATTTCGTTTTCAGAATCAGGAAAGCTGCTCATTTTAATTGGTGTACTTAGTACATAGTACGGAAATGACCAATTTTTAAACTGATGCTCACTTTTTTTTATCTTTTTCTTTCTAAAGTGATGTTCCTCCATCTTACGTTCAAACAAAATTTTATAAGCTGAAAGCTACCTGTGTTCCGTTTTGGCAGAAGAGGACTTTTCCAGGTCAGTATTTTCAATATTTGAATATTTGAGAACACAGCATGTTGATGCCACATACTAGTTAGTGACCTAGGACTTGACTTCCGGGAGCCTCAGTTTCTTTAGTTGCAAAGTGGTGTAAACTGGCAAATTATAATCCCTACCTGACAGGACTTTGCACAGTACTAAAGGAGATGACAAACGTGTAACCTGTGGTCCCCAGGGTACAAGCACTCACCAAATAACCGCGCATGCCTCTGGGTCACCACCACGTGCACATGTGTGCACACAGTGCATGCCGACCTGCACACACTCGTGCTGCACGCATGCACACACGCGTTCCAGAGAAAGCGTCAGGTGCCTGGTGTCGTCTTTGCAGCCATTTGTGGGTGGCTCAGATGTGTAATTCCCAGACCCAGATCATCGGAGTCATGTGGGGACTCGTTAAAAACATACGTAGCTGGGCCTCATCCCACCCAGACTGACTGCTGGTCTCCGGGTTGGGTTCGGAGACTAGGTTTTCTCTCACAAGCTCACGAGAGACTCCAGTGGTCTGTACAGCACCAGTGTTTGGGGACTACTGGTTTGGGTGACATTGCCCTGCAATGTCACCTCTTGCATTCAGCAGGTATCACTTCCTGGCTTGGGTCTTGGCTTGGCCGTGATTCATTCTAGGGCTCTGGGCCAGTTCCATGATGTTTCGTAGCGCCTTGGTTTCTCCCTGGAAGATCGGGTTCGTGGCAGTGTCTGCCCCGGAGGGTTTTTTGAGAGGATAGGGTGAGTGAGTCCGAGTAAGGCAGTGAGGACAGGGTCTGCCCGTGGCAGTAACAGTACAGGGCCATCGGCGGTGCCCTCTCTCCCTTGACCTTGGGAGGAGGCTTCGTACGAATAATTTCAACACTCAATCTTTTCCTTCAGAGATTATAGACTACCTTTACGAGACGAGTCTACCTTTGCTCAAGGAAAAGCTGGAGAAGAAGATGGAGAAGACGAACACAGAGCTCCAGACTCCTGCAGCGCCCAAGCGCGTCTTCCTGTTCCGAGACATCTTTTACTGTGACGACGACAGCGAGGGAGAAGACGCAGGCGAGAAAAGTTGACTGGACGGCCCCGTTTCTCGTCCGTTTTCTAGGTTCGGTCGTGTTCGCGTGCACGTGTCAGTAAAGCCCTTGTCTGTGTTGACGTTTGTTAAGAAGATGCAGTGGCTTAAGGAAGGGTACGAGAACGGCACCTCGTGTGGTGGAGTATTAAAAACGGACTGACGTCCACAGTCAAGTTCGTTCGAACGTGAAGAGGAGCATATGAGTCGATTGAATACTTCTGTACCGTTACACTGAAAACGGAACTAAAGGTTTTTACGGCAGCAGCATCCCAAGCGCCCCTAACGCAGCGGAGGCCAGAGTCACGTCCTGCGCACGTTTCGTTATGTGGGTTCAACTACACGTGCGCGCAGCAGCAGAACGTTGACAAGTTCAAACACACAGGCCGCTATGCTCTCTGCCTTTCCTGCCGTGCGCGTGCGCGTTCGCACCATGTGTGTTAGGGGAGCGTCGGAAGGAGGTTGCGACCCTGCCCTTCCCCTACACTGGTTTCGGTTCCCCTGTGCGTGTCACGTCTCGTCTTCCGAAGCGCCATTCTAGCATTCAAAGACGTGTGTTTTTCGTGCAAGATGCCCTCTCAGAGCCAGTCACTGACTTCATCTGCTGTTCAGCTGAGAAAAAAGGAAAAACAAAACATCTACACTCTCTTGCATCGCTCCCAGAAGAACTGGCTCTGTCAGACTTACTGAGAGACGCGCCATGGATCTCAGGCGCAGCTCATGCCTTACGGAATTGCAAGGCTGATTTTCACGGCGGGCTGTGCCATCAGTCAGGAGAGCAAAAGCGCTCCAAACACAGAAGGATTTAGCGTAAGGCTTTAGGGTACAAAATCGTTACACAGGATGAAGGGGCGAACGGGAAGGGTTGAATCACCCAGCCACGGGGCGCCGAGGGGAAGCGCTGCAGCCCTCTACCCCCCACACACCTCCTCACACCCCCCAGCCCCGGCCCACACCAACCCGCCTCCTGTGCTGCCTCCCCAAACTCTGGGCTGTCGGCCACTGCCTCCCTTGCAAGAGCCTGTGCAGCTGTGTCCCTTCTCTTCTCTGCGACCCCAGCAAGAACCCACGTGTCCTTGAAATACAGTGGCTTCTGTCCCCCGTCTCCCTTCTAGTTTCTCACAAGTGCCTCCCCTTAGCAGGACTCAACTGGCAAGGAAATCAAGGTTCCAGGTGTCTAGGTATAGGGGACAGACAGCACAGGAAGGAAAGCGTGGGCAGACAGGAAACCATAGCCAGCGATGTCACCAGCTGTGCCAAGATGCAACTCCGCTGTCCCCTGAGCTTTCTCTCTGATGTCATTTGTGTTGCATCATGATACGTGCAATTGGTTAATCCATCTACAGAGCCAGACGCTGTCCCAAACCTGCCACGATTGGAGAAGGAAGACGAGGAGTCCTTGGTCGCCACGTATCCCCAGCACCCAAAACAGTGTCATGCAAATTATAGACACTCAGTAAATGCTTAGTGAGCAAAAGCATGTTCCGTTTTTAGCAAGCATTTTGCCTTCAGTCACCTCCTGTCTGTCAAACATACAAGTCTCTGTGCCGATGGGAACACAGATCGTACGCTGCTCCGGGAGGACAATCTGGTAAAGTATGTCTGAGCCTTAAGAATGTACATACTCCACGCTCCAGTAATTTCACTTGTAGGATTTAAGGAAATAATAGAACTAGTGTATAAAATGGCACATTCATAACATGAAAACTAGAAAAAGCTGTAAATGATCCTTAATAGGAAATTCATTAAATAACAATATATTCCCGAAATGGAATAACACGCAATAATTAAAAATGATGATAGGTTTGGTTAACTCAAGAAGAGGTGAACAATATTATCAACTGGAACATTTCAGAAGAGTATATCTATTTTCTCAATTTTGTAACAGTCAAAAAAAAAAAAAGGAAATTGTGTTCATACAGATGCATTAAAATGTGTGGAAGGAATTAAACCCAAAATGTCGATGGTTTTCTCTGGGCGGTGGGATGGTAAGTTTATAGGTTAGAACTCTGCATTTGCAAGGGCCGAAAAATCAGACTCGGATAGATGTGAGGACTCTGGGAACTCAGGACCAAAAGCTTCTGTGGATGAGCTCTTGTGGCGAGTAAGGGGGCGTCCAGCTACTCAGTCACCAGGATGTGCTTTCCCTCCACAGTCCCCTTCGCACGGCCACACGTTTCAGCAGTCCTGTCCCCCATTCTAAAGGGTCTCTTCCAATTTTTCTTGCTTAAGCCCTGGATTTTGCTTGTAATGCCCACATTAGAGCATGCGCCCAACTCTGAAGCATCACTGTAACCAGGGGCACGGGATTGGCTTCGACCAAGCTGGGCTCACCTCTGGAGCCGGGATTTAGCTCAACATTCTGGAACGGCTGAGAGGTAAATGCCCCAGTGGAAAATCAGGATCCCATGAGCCGCAGAAGAGGCGAACGGACTGAGGAAGCAAACCACAAATGAAGCAGATCGCGGGGTGACTGCCTGCGCTGTGAGTTTTAACGCACACACCCCCAAACTTGTAAAAGTTTGATTTTTATAACTTTTTCTTGCCTATATCTCCCATGTGCCTCCCAGCAGTGGGTAGAAAAGTATACCATACAGATCGTACTTTTACCAAACTCTTTTTTACACATTACCCAGGAATTTGGAAGAAAAAAAAAGACGAGCTAGGTCAAGTGCAGGTCCAGGAGAGGAGAAGGTTGTAAGGGGAACACCTGTTTGGTTTGGGACGTGCAGGGTTTGCTGTACTGATGGAGTACATTTGAGGGGACTCCCAGTCTGTACTGTGATGAGAAGGGGCAGAGGAGGGACCTCAAGTAATGTCCCTACTTGGGAGGAAGCGGAAGAGGAAGAGAGGAAAAGAATGCCTAACTCTCAAACAAAACCAAGCCACAGATCTAATTGTTTTCATACTGTCTTGACTGTGCATTGTTTCAGTTCTCGGTCATTCGGTGCCTTGCAATAAGCACGTTTTGTAGCTATTTATCTTCACTTACAGACTTCATTACCCAGCAAAGTGGTGCAGGACTCTGCAGCAGGGTGTCATAATCAGACCAAGACATCGATTCTGGTCACACCACTGCTTTCAGTTCACCAAGCATTGTTGACCATACGTGGTGAGCCGGGTGCTGTTTGAAGCTAAAGATGCAGGAGTGAACGGTACAGATTTGGTATCTGTTTTCTCAGAGGCTACTCCACCTAGCACTTTCTGAGCACCGTTTCCAGCTAGTTTCCTGAAATACAAACCACAGTCGTAATTCTTCGAACTCACCAAACAGTCCCCTAGTCTGTCGGCCTACCCCCAGCCCACACAAACAGCCCCCTCAGTCCGTGGGCCCACCCCCAGCCCACCCAA